CTGGCTCAACGCGCAAATGTACGAAAAACTCGTTTTCTTGATTCATTAATCATCGTCAGCTGGCACGTGAAGATTAATGGCTCGGCAGTAATTAATTCTGACGCAGTGATAACGTGCTATCGGTCGAAGACGATCGGGTGGAATATTCCCTTTGATTAATGCAAATCGTGGGTCCATCAGTCTGAGTCTGGTAGAGCTCAGGTTGGTCTGTATCAAATCGCTGCGTGATCTGCATTTCTGATTCTTATCCTCAAATATTTGCCGCTTCTTAAGTGCCTACTAATTATTGAATCGAGCGATTTGAATTGACATTCCCATTGTCGATAAAGACGCAGACGTGTCCCACGGTTCGAATTGAGCCTGCAATTCCCAAGCGTGCACATTTGTCTCACGCCACAACCGGACAAGTGACAAGCCGACCAATGCAATGTACGAACGAAACGTACGTGCACGTGCGCGGCGCGTTTACATTCGCTGTTCACGTTCGTATACGAAACGCCGCTACCATCGCCTGGGAATCATCGATGTTTCCCATACCCAGCGCTCTCCGTTCTCACCGTAAAACCGACGGTTCCCAAAGCACATCCGTGGGACTCCTTCGTGAATTCGGAACCTTTAATTTTTGTTGCGAGGATTAACTCCAACGCAACGATTACGTGATCTTTCTTCTCACTTCAGATTAAATATAATATCTGTGTCGATAACAATAATAAGTTTTATTTTACTTCATTTCTTATTAGATTTATAATATTATTTTGAAAGTTTTATATGGATGTTTTTTTTATTGTTTAAGAGAGTATTGAGTAGGCCGAACAAACTATTTTACAATCTCACAGTATATAGGTACATATAATATTTCATAGAAACACAGTTTAACTTTTTTAATTATATTTGTAGCAATAGAAACATAAGGACTTTAGGTCCACGTTGAAGCAAGTAGAAGTCAAATTAGTTGATCGTAAAGAGGTTTAAATTTATTTTAATAAAGTTCTCAATTATAGTTACAAATTTTTATTGCAGTACTTATTGTTAGTCAATTCCGTTTAAAGGGTTTATTAACATTAATTATAATTAGAGCTGTAATATATTATAGTGCAAATTAGCTATTGATGATTTTAATTTGTTCGGGCAAATTTATAAAATTTAAATATAAAAATTTATAAAATATAAAAATAACGAACCTTCGTATAAATGTGAAATATGTAAATATGCGGATATCGAACATTCTCGTCTCCTGATTCACTTTAGCCGAATGTGCTACTTGTCTAAGCATGACAACTCAATCCACTTTCGGATATAGCACCTCTCAATGCATTATGCTTTCCTGTCAGTTTACTTATCAATTTAGATTATGTCGCGAAAGAGCTAATTACCTGAAAACCTTTTATTTTTAAACTTGAAATTTATTCTCACCTACAAAATCTAGAACGTTTCACACCGTTCTCCTTATTTTAAAAACAATTATAGCTTTATTCTTTATATATACGTACTGGCAGTTTTTGATTTTCACAAAACACGTTTTGGCGAAAAATATATTTTATTACATTCAATAACTTTACAAAATATTATTAGACATCACGGAGAAATCAGTATAGCATAAATATGGAAATAGCGCTATTCAGGTTTCGATTTTATATACCGCGGTAGCTAATCTTACGGATCTTGTATAAATTTCGTGATGATTACGAGTTCCCGGCTTCAAAAGATTTGGCCCCCACGTTCTATTCGACTCCCGGTGCCAGACAGGAGCACAACCACACCCGTCGTGCTTATGTTTTCCTAGTAAAGTGATACAGTTTATTGGACTTCTTCGGATTGGAATGCGGCGTCAATGACATCCTTATCTCAATAGAAAGAGAAAGAGAGAAAATAAGAAAAGAGGAAGAACAAATCCAAGCAATTAATTCAGGACGCATGTCTTATGCACATGACACTTTGCACGTCACTGCTCGCACACGGAAACCCGATTATACGTCGGGTCTACCAGCTGTATTTTTATGCCATGCTGGTGGACTGACTATGCCTGGTCAGTGAGTGTCAACTGTTAGTCTTCTGTCATTAGACATCTCTACATCACACACACAAGAAACTAGAGATAAGCGACATTTTCACATAGTTACTATTCTGATAAAATTACATTAAAAATTATACAAAATTATACGTAAGTAGATAATTTTCGGACCTATTATTAAATAGTGTATATTTATACACGTGTGAAATTGTATTTGAATTTACCGATGAAATTATTGTTCTTTACAGTAATTAAAGAATTTGCGAAAGTAAATACAATACTTACAATTGAAAAGTTAATTTTATAGAAATATGAAAACTATAAAATACTTGTTATTATAAGTTTCTGTCTAATATAAAAATGTGTTTACACTATTGTAGATAAATATACACTAATTTTTCTACTAGAAAGATGTCAAACTTATTTTTTTAAGTAAATTTGAAGTATATCAGCGGTATGTATAATAAAAATTATTTGTTATATTGTTTATAAATTCAGTGAACTTGTGATTTTCTTGTATTAAATTAAGGTAAAAAAGTCTTCAAACATTTTCCGAAAAATTTATTTGAATTAAAAATATTATAACAAAAATTTTTTAAGCTCTATTTTTTGTCTATAAGAACTCTTTAATTTTTATCTCTCTTGTCTATAAATACTTTTTAATTTTGATGTTAAAAAATAATTTGTAAAAATACATTTTTACACAACAAATTCGATATTATTGTGAAAAATCATCATACCAATTTTTTAAATCATGTTTTGAAGCATAAAAAATTACTTTAAAATATTTTTATTAATTTTTATTCGATATTTTTTACAATATGAAGTCATATAGCGCTTTTAAATAAAATAAAAATATTAGAAACAAAAATAGTAAGAATTTACGATTTTTCAATTTTATGCAATTTACAAAGAAAATATCATATATCCAAATTTACAGTTTTATTCGTTCTTTTTAAAAGACGTTAAAAACTTTTCTTTGATTCTGTTCAACGAAATACTTACAAGTCTTTGCGAGACATGAAAAAATTGTAAATGTTTCTGAATTTATGAACGGTAATGTATATATAAGAGTAATAATATAATCAATATATTTTTATTAAAAATTAACTATAATTCATAAAATAATAACTATTTCTGTAAATTATCCTATAAAGAACGTGCTTTGATTAAAATAAGGAAGAAACTGGTGATCATGGAGGGGGGAAACAAGCGCCGTGCGGCCGCGCCGGCGCGCCAGTATCGATCACCCGTAGGTACCTCATTCGCCACTACGTGGCGCAGCCTCTCGCATTTCAATTTCATCTCGAAACTGTATATAATATCTGCAGAAGATGTTAACGCTATCGCTTCTCGGCTCTCTGAGCTAAGATCAAATGTGTAGTATCTGTTCTTATCAGCTTAATATCTGATACAATCCCCATAGGGGATTCAGTATATTAACCTCATTTTTGAACAAAGGTGGGTGTAACGGAGCTTGCTCCGTCCCCGCTAAGGGTCGACCCGGTCTTGCAGTATCTCGGGTCCGGCCTATAATAGTATTCTAAAAATAAAACTTTGATTTAGGGTTAACTGATTAAGTTTTCCCAATTTTGTTGCACGTTCGAACTTGACTCCCTCCGCGGCCGCGTGCGACGCCGTGCGCGGGCCGAACGCGACCGGCGGCCGTACTTCCGGCACATGCTGAGTCCCCCGGCACCGTCGGCGGTCACCGAGTATATTATTATCGTATAGTGCTCATTGCGGAGCTTTATTTTCATATATATTTTTATTATTCTGCGACTTTGTGCGTAAGCTAGGCATCGCCGTCGCTGACAGCCTTAAGCGGGGAGCACAGACTTTTGCATAACGTATAAACCATATACATAAAGAATTTGATTGGTCCATTGACTCATGCATAAGAAAATGGACCAATGAAATTCCTTATGCACATGCTTTATGCGTTATGCAAAAGTCTGTGCTCCTCCCCGCTTTATTCTATTTCATTCCATTTCATGCATGCCTTATGTTAAAATATATTTTAATATGTCTAAAGTATGTCTTATATATTTTAATGCGAAATGTATTATGTTTAATATTATACAAATACGCGAAGAATTTATATGAACGATCCGAACTAAACAAAATTTGGAATTTGCTGTACGTTCACAACGAGGATTGTTCTATTTACATTGAAAAAATATTTTTCCAATAAATTCGTTTTGTTCGTTAAACTTTATCCACCTTATAAGAGTACTTAACCTATAGTGGAGTGCAATTAGACAAAAAACGGCTATTATTAAGCAATAATTCCACGCAGCATGAAATTTCAATGAAACCTTTTGGATTATCTTCTAATTAGTATTAGAAAAAAAGTTTACCTCTTAAAAATGTGCGCTTTTTGAAAATTGTTAAAAAATTTTGCAAAAAGTGAATTTTTTCACATTTTTACGGTACTCAGCGCTATTCTGCGTCGTTAACAAAATCACAACATATTGAAAAAATTCTACGTCGTTCAATTATGATTTTAGAAAAAAACTTTCTTAACATTTTTTATGTGAAATTTTCTGCTCTTTCCATTAGTGGCATTGTTTTTATTGTTTATTGCTTTATTTAAAAGTTATTTGCAAAAAACATCATTTTTGAGGTTATTTTGTTAAATAAAAAAAAACGCACACTACTTAAAGAGGTAAACTATTTTTTTTCTTTATTTCTGATAAGCTAATGAAGCGATATCCGCAAAGTTTACTTTGCGAGGAATTTTTGCAAAGTCAAAAAATTATTGCACTCCACTACTAACAATAATGTAAAAATTGTATTTTTTTATAGCTATGATTTAATTACTTTGTAACGATAACTTTAAAAGTTACTCATAAAGTATATATACATTCTAGAAAAATTTTAATATCAATATACAAAATTGATGGATATATATCATAGTTTAAATAAATCAACTGATGACGCGAGGAAAGATTTTCCAAGCTTTAGAAGTTTGTGTATTTCTCGACAGGTCACCAGCTGACAGTGTTCAACAGCCAGTCTACTATTCAGGTAGGCGGTCGATGGAATCGCAGTAAGGGCAGAGTGGAACGACCATTTCTCGGCGTGATAGCCGGATTGGTCGTTAATGGTGCCAGAATCTTAGAACTGGCTGCTACCAAAGACGGTAAAGTTGCAACTAGAGGAGACGTGCAGCTTCTGCCAGCAGGAAGTCTCCTGGATCGCGCTCCACCGTTACAAAGAATGCAACAAGTACATAATAATGTCATTTGAAGTTAATTTCTACTAACTTCCAAGATACTGGCTCAATTTTTAATAATTAATTTGCTTTGTAGACACCGGCGTCCGGGTTTCCCGGCGTCATGGACGATCTCATATTCTCCGGCGCCGGAAGTGGCTGCGCCGGCGATGACGAGGACGAGGAGTGCACTCCGATCTACGAGTCAGGCTCCGGTAAGTGTAAGTAATATTTCCGAAAGAGTAAGTAATCTATTCTGCACGTTTTCCTCTCAAAGGAGTTTTCTCTACGTACGCGTGTCTTGTTGCGTATATAATTTCTTCCCGACATTAATATCATTATATACTTTTTCACACATTTATCGCGTGAAATAACATTTTATAGATGATTTATTTCGGTACAAAACGAATACCGAAATATACTTTCTCGCTTTAAATTTCTTTTGAAGTATACCGTATGTTTTTTTATTATTTATACGCGAATTTAATTATGAAACAACTTTTAGTAATTATATTTTCAGTTGTATTAATTGTAATTGAAAATTCTGAAAATATATACGTGCTATTGCAAAACTTTCATTTAATACAAATTTGATACCGTATCTTCATATATATAATACGTAAATATTATAATTATTTCGATATTTATCCAAGAAATAAATCTAACATGAAATAAAATAAGTTGAATTCTAAAAATTACAACCAAAATAATATGAGATTTTTATTATAAATTATTATAATAAAATGTATTTATTAAATGTATACATAATACATAAATATAGGTTATATGTTAAATTTATTTGTACATAGATAAAATTTATATAACAGGGTACTTCGTGATATTTGCAACAAAATTGTCCTTTACGGTTTTGTAAAAAGATTGTTAGATTAGGAGTTATTAACGAAAAACCTACTTTCTCGAAAGCGCTTGCGAACCAGTCGCTTCATATATAAGAGAACAGCTACCGTACCGTCACCGTGTTGTATGAAAGGAGAGACGTTTAGCACTCCCCTAGACAAGGATGGATGAACACATGTAATGGTAGGCACTGTCGTCTGTTGACGGCACTTACCAACATTTTTTTCATTATTAATAATGTTGGTACAGGAATTTATTTTATTAGGAAAAAAGATTTTGATCCTATTATAGTATTATTATTCTGTTTATTAATTTTAATTTTTTTTAGAACAAATTGATAAGATCTTTTTGATGAATTACAAGAATTGTTCAACGTACGATCGTTAATCACAACAATGTGATATATGGCTATAGAAATATATATACTTCCTCACTTTTCTTTTTATACTAATATATTTGAAAATGGCATTTAAAATATTTCTGTAAAATATTTTCAATCGCATGCATAACAAATAAAAAGAAATGATAATTAAAAAATTGTCACTTTTATATGAAACAAAAAGACAATTATTAATATCGTACGAATTAAAAAGTTTTACAATTTTCCATTGAACAAATCGCGTTTATTCAACTATTAAATAAATCGTAAGAATTAACTAGAAAACATTGTTAAATCATTTTAGTTTCAAAAAGTGCAGGTAATACTTCACAAAATAAAAACAATTAACTTTTTAACGATATGTAATTTTTTATTCCTATACAACGTAGAAACAAGGAGTTAATTGAAAACGGTTAAATGAATTGGAATAGGCAATGAATGTTCTTAATTGATTAGCCTTTAGTATGCAAAATTGCTCTTAAACTATCGTTGATATTGACTTCTCTCTCAGCACGCATCGCGTCATGTGAGAGGAAGGGCGTCCCCGTTACACGCTCACGCATCGTGTACACACTCAACACGCATCGCACGTATCGCATGGCATGGCCACCTTTTCGCCTTCATGTTCGCCCGGTTGTATCTTCGATTCATTTACATATTTAGGATCGCCGGCCGGTGGAGATAGAGCCTGACTGACTGCTTTCCTCCTCTCTCCTTCCAGTAAACCTCTTACGACGGACTGAAGTCCCGCTCCAAAATCTCCTCCGACTAACTAAAAACTAAATTAACGTCGTCACGTTAATGAGACGCGATAACTGCGGATGATGACCAAACGTCATATCCTGTAATACCATGCGATATGTATCGTGAGATCCCGCATTATATCGGATTTCTCGAAAATATTTATATACTTTGAATTACTTTAAGTAAGTTTACTTTATAACATTGTTAGAATTTATTTTTGAATTTATAATTACATGGTGCAAGTTTCTCAACTAATATATATTATATTATCTTCAATTAGTCGACAAAAATTTTGATAAAATCGTATAAGAAATACATTTGCAATTACTTTTGTGGTGCAGAATATAAGATTTTATTATGTGTGTAATTACTTTTATTGTACCGTATATATTTTGATTGTAATATAATCAACATTATACGTTTTTATCTACATTATTGCGCCGCTTCTATTTTCAGATGACATCATCACGCCAGTGTACGTGGCGCCTACACGATTGCCGACGACATTGAGGCCGAAGCTGCACAAAGAAAATATTCAAGAACGTCCAACCTGCGACGACGAGGAAGACTGCGAAGAGGGCTCTGGCGATTCCAGAACGACAGAAGAAATTTTCGTCACCTCGGCCACCGGTCCGTATTTCAAGAATATTGTTTTGTCTAGTAATTGTTAATACCTTTCTTTTAACTGAAAGCTGCAAAATGCAATTTCACAAACGCCACATTCTTAAATTTTGACGACTTCGCAATGATGAAGAATTTCCAATTTGCGCTTTAAATTTACATTATTAAAAAATAAACATCATTTATACATATAATATAATATATACAAATTATATTATATACAATGTGTATATATGTATCATATATACACATGTAATTATAGAAAACTCGGCATATAATATCTCATGTGAACGAGCATCGATCGATATTATCGTTCTCGGTCATCGGCTTTATATACGTATAAAGAATCCTCCGTTACGGAAATACGACGTGGGCGTCTTCCTCAAGCTCGCGACTTTTTGTGACGCGCGCATCAACCATCGTCTACCATGAAAATAGCACCACCCTGTTGCCGGGGGCGACATTCCTTTCAGTAATAACATTTACTCCGTCGAGTCACAACGTCAAACTAAATACTCTGTACTTTATTTTGCCTGAACGTATAGAATATAGAATCATATAAAAATATCTTCGAAATATTTGCTTGTGTATATAACGTGAAGCTTTCATAGAAAATTCCTCATTGCATTTTTTTTTGTACGTATATCTATCCGGATAATTTAGAATTTTAATGCGCGATCGTAAAATAATACGTTCTATTCTCTCAAATATCAGTGCGTCTGTGTGTTTATTTTAGAAACCTTTAATAATTATAGAATAAAATTAAAACAGTATATGTTTAAATTCCAAGAAATCCTCATGTCTTTCATACCTAAAATAATGCAAAATGTTTATATAAGAAGCTTCTCCATTGTAGGTAGCAGGTATTAAAATATGGTATAAACATATGGTGATAGCTTGTTAAAATAGTCATTTTAATTTCATAATAGACTTATAATAATCATCAGGTTTCAGAAAAGACCATAAAACGTTTTATACCAGCAAACATTTTGTACTAAGGATATTGAAATTAGATAAAGATTTAATTATGCTCCCTGCTTGGAATGTCGCTCAAGACTTCATTCTAAAAGTGTCGGCGTCCCACATTCAACTTCGTGACTACAAACATAAACTCGAGACGTGATCTCTGCGTGTAAAATATTAATTTTGTCAAAAATTGACTAGATATAAATAATTTGGATAAATAATAACCGTGTTACTTTATAGATATTTTCCTTAGATGCAAACATATGCATCATGTGATACGTTCCTGATGCTCTCGGGATTGTTCGGCTCGTAACGTTTCTGCTTACGCACGCGTGAACATTTGCCAGCCTACGCACGCGTAAATATTGTCGCCTCCGCATGTTTCCCGTCCCTTTCATTTCCATACCCTACTCTGTTTTTCCTCCACCTTCTTCTCTTCCACCTTTCTCCCGCATCATCCCCTCTGCACGATAGAACGAATTGAAGCAGTCCCCTAACGCATATTTTTTTCACCCTCCTGCTTTCTGTCACAGATATCAGCTCGGTGACGTACACGACGCCCCGCGAATACACGACAAGTCATATCAGCACCCAGACGACGTCGGCATCGTCGACAACGTTGGGTCGCGACGTCGTCACCGTCTCCGTCCAATACAACGTGTCAACCACAGATCTCGAGACCAGCCATAGCAGGTGCGTGCGTCTGTCAGCGGTGACGCCGGATAATCGGATAAGCATATGGAATCGTTCATATATATATCGATTAGTCATTACAGGAAATGATTACTGTACATTCTTTGCGTTCTCAGAATCGCCATTACGTTCATTTTCTACCGCAATTACGTTAAAACACGTACGGTATAAATTATTTCCTGAACAATTAATGACACACGTATTTACTGAATTCATAAAATCCTTTAAAAGCTTGCATCAAATATTAGCAACGTCTTTTAATATTGCAATCAAGTATCATTGATGAGGTACAGCTCAATTAATAGAATCAATTTGCCTCTCTTTACATACACATGTATGTAATATAAAAATCAATACAACAACAACAACAACACAACACACACGTCAGTTTAAAAATTCGGAACTGTTGCATTTTCGCGATTTTCAATCCGTATTTTTGCAACAATTTAATTTAATCGTGTATTTTAATTTGAGTAATCTACTTGAAAAAAATTCAGATTTATTGCACATTTGAACGAAAAAAAATGTTACTGATGAATATAATATACTGCGCAGTAATTATTCTTCATTTACTTCAACTTCATTTAGTAAAAAGTTGCAAATCTACGAAAACTATAATTCGTCCGTAAATTAATTTTGAATAATAATTAAAAGTTAATAATTGTGGATTACACTTTACAGCAGCGTCGTAACGCATCGATCGACAACTGTGACAACACAGACGACCACGACGGAAATGACGGAGCCACCACCGCCACCTCCACCACCGGTGTACCCGCCGATGCCTACTCCGCCCAAGAATAACAACAACAAGCGGATCACATCCGAGGCGGCCGAGAATGCCGCACTTATAATTGGCATCATAGCCGCCGCGCTGATAGCGATAGTCTTGATCATATTGATAATCCTCAAGTTTAAGAACCGGCCAGAAACAAGTTACAAAGTGGATGAAACGAAAACGTTCTGCCAGGATCCGAACGCGGCTCTATTGGGTGCCACGGGCTCCGGTCAGCCCTTCAATGGCGCCCTGAAAAACGGCGCCAACGGCAGCAAAAGCAACAAGAAACGAGAACTAATAGACATTAAAGAGTGGTACGTGTAAAGGGGGGCATCTACATACTCGGCAGGACACTGCCTTGTGTTTGAAATTTGTGTACAGGGAGGATGGCCAAAGACTTGGCCAAAGAACGTGCACGTCATCTTTCGTCGCTGGAAAGGATCGAGGATTGAAACAGAGCAGAGTAAGCGAACACAGTCAGCTCTCATGAGTCTCGCACAGGTGTACAAAGAAACTGTGCTCGCTGAGATCAGAGCTATCCCGTAGAAGATCCTTGTCTGTTAAGTATCAAACGGATCTAGTACTGGGACTCCAAGTATCTATCTTAATACAACACGAAAATTATCAAGTATTCGTTGAAAGGGTTTTGCTCGAGTTGCTCATCGTGCAATAAACAATAGGGTAATAATTCATGAGGGTGCCTCTGATCAGTGGTGAATACGACATAATTGCGCGTGCGAAAACGATCTTTCCGTTACGAGTGATGAAGAAGGTCATGTTCAGAAAATCCTCGTGATAGCTTATAGGAAAAGCGGTGTAATAAAAGGTCGCAGTTAAATAAAAATCCTTTCGCACTTTTCTGTGTGAAAAGAATTGAAACGCATTACAGATGATCAACGATCTTATCCTCGATAAAGTACATTTTCTAAGAACTTTAAAATCGGGATTAATGGGTCGTATATTTAAGTGGAAAAACTCTTTGAGGAAGACATAATGAGATTATGATACCGTGGAAATATATGAAACTTCTTTTTAATTCTAAGGCGAATTGAAATGAAATCGATCGCACTTAGGAAGATCCGTCGAACTACTCGCTCTCGCCAAAGAGAGCCAACGAGTTGCCGCGAGGTACTGATCAATGATCTAGCGCTGATCCTCTTGTTTCCTTGACACGAAATCTGGAAATAAAATTTAAACACGTGGCAGGAATCGAGCATTAATTGCAAACATTCCAAAAAAATTTTCTTCCTGTTCATTTGTCGCGAATTTTTTCAAGTTACATTTTTTAAGTAACGCTTGCTAACGCTGCTCGATTTTCTGCTATAATTAATAACAAGTCGATTCGTCGGTAAACGGAAATCAACATTTATCGTTAGTGAAAAATTTTCACATTTTAATATGAAAAAAAAAAAAGTTTTTTTGTATTAATTTAGAACGATTTTCCCGCGAGAAACAAAGAGGAACAAAAATGAACAAGGATCGTGGAATTAATCGTACGAATTAATTAAAAAGAAAGGAAATGTTGAAGGTGATATTAGCAATGACTGATTCGGACGAATCTTAGAAAGCAACTTGCACTGACGTAGGCAGGCTATTTTTATTGTTTTATAAATTTTACTTCCAACATCCTTTCAGCGAATGCGACATTAGATCATTTTCAAGCACGTGTAAAAAATACATTAATTTTTGAATTTATGTATTATCTTTATAGAGCTAAATATTTATTCATTAAGAGCTAGATAATAAAATGTCCGAGAGTGATTTGTACGCGATCTTTTAAATAAGAAACGATATTTTAAGTAAGAAACTAAAAGAATTGTGCATAAATGTTTCATATAATACATAATGTTTATTATTGTAAAATTTTATTGATGTTATATAGGTACGAAAAATAATAATAATTTCATATTGTAATATTTATTTACTTTATTTATATAATTTTATTATTATATAATTTAACAAAAAATATAGATATATTTTGTACAGATTTGATATAAAATATGAATATCTGAATAGAAGAAATATTATAATTTGTTTTAGTATAAAATTATATTTTATCTAGCAAATATATTATTTAATTATAACTTTTTGTACACAATAAACAAATTTATGTTTATGAATATTGATAAATTATAAAATATGACACCTAAATAAATTTTGTTAATTTTCTGATCGATATAAAGATTGAAGATATTGTTAAACATTATTTATATACACGTAATATCTTGCGATAGCAAAATTTTAAATGATTTTATTCTATTCTCGACGTGCTGCTTATAAGAATAAGATGTTGGAAGTGAAACGTTAGGGACAAAAGCATCGTGATGATCGTATATTCTATCCTATTTATACATTTATTATTGTATAGAAAAGCGACAGATAATATATACACATACTTATCGATTATGTTATGCGTGTATAAATTGTTTGACTAATTAAATAGATTTTATTAAAGTCTGTTTTGAGCAAAAAATACATGACGCATATACCTAAGAGTTCCATTCTCGAAAGATTCGAGTGTGAAATAATTTAATATGAGGAATGTTAAATAAATTTATCGAGAATATTCGTATTCTTTTTATCTTTATTGTTTCCAATCGAGAAATATTGCATACATTCATACTTTCAATATAAAAATATATATATAAAATTGCAATATTATATTTTTAAGAAAGAATTAAGAAATTTTATTTAAAGAATAGAATTTATCGCTTGGAAAGTTTTATTAATTTTATAAAAAATATATTTTGCGAAAAGTTTGTTTAAGATATTTTTATAAATAGATGTGATTATATTTTTTGAAAGCGATAGTTTACTCAAACAAAGTTGAAATAAGTTACTTTAGAGACTTTTAATGTAGCTTACGTATTGTTAAGTGCGAATGCTCATGATATTCCTCATTTGTGTAAATTGCACACTCGAATTCTGTTTCGCACGAGATTGTACGTAAGTGACTCTTATACGTATGGAAAGTATCTGTAAGTAATCCGAGAGGAAGGATAAACTTGACGAATGGATGATTTATATAGCATATATGCAAATATGCTTATTACATAAGTACAGGGTGTGTGAATGCAGTATTGCCAGTACGAGTTAGATGATGTTTGATCGAGTCGTATAATGACATCGAGCGTGATTGCACGACGCGTCGCAAGTGCACCGAGTCGTTTCTACGAAATTGCATCGTCTTCTCCTAATTGAGATTCACGATACGCTCGTTTTTATACAGGTCAACCTGGGTATCGCACATTGTTTTTCTCGGCTATAAACTCTTCAATAAATCTCTCGAAAAGCATTATGTCACGTTATCTCCATTAACGAAGAATCTAAGAATTCAAATTGATATGGGAATTTATAGACGAGGACCAGCGGTACTTTGATGCATCCTGTATATATAGCTGTGTATGTTGTTAACTTAGTATTACTATTAACACGGTTAATCGTTGACGTAGTTGACGATAATAAAGATTTTTTAAAACCTATTCTGTGAAGCTAAGATCATACCAAATATGCTAAGGACCAAAAGACAATTTATTATCCCCCCATGTTAGGTTATATCAACATAGTCGATTAATTATATTAGAAGCAATGTTTAAAAAAATTATTTTTAAAAGCAACATGTTGCTCTTATATAAACTGAGATGTAATTATTATTGTTATTAACATAGATCAATCAATATTGATCTTTAACACAGTGAAAATAATAATAGACTTAGTTCGCAGAAAACAGAAAAATAATTTATAATTCAACAGAAAATAAGACATTAATAACGCAAATTTTCAAGATGTGATATAGTTTATCATATTATTAATTTATGAATTTTAGGTACTTTTATTTTTACACAATTAATATATTGCTATCAAGTTATTAAAATAAACTAAAAAAAAACTTTCAAAGAAAAAATTAATTAGTTCCTTATTAATTTAATCTAATAAAAATTTTCTTAATTAATTTACAGCATGTTATTTTATTTTCTCGTAATTACTGTATGTATTTAATGTTTTTGAGGTAAAATTGATTTCTATTAATGCAGCTAGCAATTAACGTGGTTAATAGTAATAAGTATAATAACAAGCCACAAAGTGACATTTTTGTCACAAATAAAGAAGCAATAAATGGGGCTTAGTATTCAAACTAATCTCTCAAGCAACACATTTAATTCCCGAAGTGTTGCACTGCCCCACTCTCGAGCGTTCGTGACAACTCTTTACATACATGGAAGACCCTGTTCTTTTTTATTTTTTTTTACGCCTGTATTTTTCCGTTTTAATTACGGAAAGCGTAAAAAAATGCTATTGAGAAAGGACAGATCTTCAGTGGGCGAATATATAGGATGAAAAAGAGTGTGTGCAAGTTGTCGTTTAAACGCACTTTTCACGCCAGGGATGAGTAAAATACTAGAGTAAAATACCAGGGAACGTTCCAAAAGAGACGAATATATATACCTCCTAAATATTTCTCACAATTTTCTGCATACTTGACCGAGAAACATATAAATAATTATTCGATTGTTGCCTAATACATTACAGAGTTATTATATCGGAGTAAAAGCTATTTAAGGATGAATATGGATTCTCAGTTATAAATGAAGGTCTACAGTTCCTGTAATTCTCATCTTCAAATCTCTTAAGTTGCAAGAAAGGTTTGTTGACTTCTGCGAAACATACAGTTTTTAACGTATTAATCATTCTAAGTTGAAGACAACACTTCTTCATGTTTTTGTATAACAAAAGAATATAAAAGATCATTATTCTCGTATGGTATCCTAAAGACTTTTTATTGACAGAATAGTGTGATAGATTGATGAAGCGAGCTACCTCTAATATTTGAGGATGGAAATAGTACTTTGCCCATCACTGGTCGAGATTGTCTCTCGGCGATTAATCGAAGGCGAAAGAAAAACGTCCGATCGTTATAAAGTGCTCTCGAATATTTTGTAAGTCCTCCTTCTGTAATGCACTCTTCCTACGAGCGAATCGTCCTTCTTTAGATCACACTGGTTCTACGAGATCTTGAAATCGGTTACTAGTATCAGTACATAGTTTTCTCTATATCTCTTTCTCTCTCTTTCTGTCTTCTCCATATCTATATCGTATTCGCCGCTTCTCTCCTTGTGGTGAAATAGCAGATATATGATTAACAAGTCGATAGTGCACGTATTTCGAAGTAACAATCCTCAGGGAAGAATAATTAACGCGAACAATCGGGATTAATCGATTACCGTCTATTAGCAGCGATGTTTGCTGATTGCGATTTTTCCGAGAGTAATCTCTTTATCAAGTATCCTCTATTAAATGATGGTCGTTCTGCTTTAGCTTAATCTACAGATTTATTCAATTCATTGAAAATCTTATTAATCAGGCTTTTGAGGTAGATCTGATTTTTCCGACGAGTAAATTAATCTCCAACATGATAACGACATCGATAGATTTCAGTGGCAATACGCACTACGTATGTAATACTACAAGCTGACGCTTCGAATAAGCTTCTTTAATCGCACAAAAGCTCGGATCTATCACTGAGGCAAGAAAGAAGTGCCGCTCCTCAATCACCGCGATCCGCATTTTGCGCGGATCGTTTTTACGCTTATTAACAAGACACGATAAATCTTAACTCTCATCTTCGCTAGACTTGCAATCGTTCACTCTTCACTCCAACCCTCTTGTCTCATCCCTCTCAAAGGTCATTTATGGATAAGTATCAGTGTGCGAATTTTGTATATATTTATGTGGCTGAATCTTGCGTGGATGGGCAGTTTTAACGATACATCGATAACAACGATATTTCGTGTAAAAAGAAAATTTCTTCAATTTCAGGCGTGCGTGTTTTTCTTTTAATATAACGATTAATCTTCAGGTGACCGATACTTCTTGCGAAAAACGGACTATGACTATACTGTTTCCTATTCATTAACGGTGACAGAACCTTCGTGAGAAAGTATCATCGTTAAAAAAAGTCCTTCTTCTGTCTGTTCTCTTTTTCCCTTAAGAGAAATCACTCTTTATCGACAAGAAACTCTAGACATATTGTTATCACTGCCCTCTGATTCTCTATCTGCATATCCTTCGATGTACTGACAACTAACGTTTATACTAAACTAAATTAACTTCTATAAAAATACATTTAGTAAGCAGTGTTACTCTAACTATTAACTTATATATTATGTCAAACTTAAAAGCGTGTCGCGAAAATAAGCATTGGAGCAGTCGGATTTGTAATTGTGAGTATATTAATTTCTATTAATTTTATTTTAAACA